TCTCTCTCTCTCTCTCTCTCTCTCTCTCTCTCTCTCTCTCTCTCTCTTTCTCTCTTTCTCCTGTCTTTAATACGTAAGAAAACGACTTGTAGAGCCGGTCTGCCTCTCAGACTTGACTGCTTGACTGACCTGCTTGAAGCGAGTGTATATCGGATCCTGTTATCCAAATGTGTAAGTGTGCATTAGTACATAATGTTAGACTCGTGTTCATGTCTGACCCCATTTTATCAGCCTTATTTTTTGTCGTTGTTTGTTTCCCATACTTATTTTCTGTAGGTTACATATTCTTGTAAGCGGCCCTGAATTCCTTTCTAGGACAACACGACGCACAAACATTAGGAACTTGGTGAGATATATAGCAGAAGGAGCTCCTAACGTCCAGAACGTCGTGGCTGGGACGATCATGGGAGGTGACAGCGATAAGGAGGGTGTTATTAGGCCAGTTCAGCGGGGACTTAGAGGCGCCAGGCAGATGTCAGCCTGGGCCAGCTCTCCTCTCTGTTTACTGGCTTGGAGACCCGGTGTTCTCTAAGGCTTCAGCAGTGACCGGTTTTGTTTTTGTTTTTGTTTTTGTTTTTTTGCATTTGGAGGGGTGGCTTAAAGAGTCGTTAACGTGTGGGAAACACGTATGTCAGCGCTGGGATCGGCTGCTGTGACCAGCGCTGTGTCTCAGACAAGTGGCAGGTAGGTCTGGCGGCCAGGTCCGCTGGCACGCTGACTTGGTGAGAGAGCCCCTCCCCCAGGCGTCCACTCCAAGTTGGCACCTCTGGTCTCTCACACCCACAGGCTCCAGGCAGCTGCTCCTTGGCCAAAACGGATCACACCTCTGGAGCTCACCTCCACACCCACCTCCTCCCCCTCCGGGGTGCAGGGAACACGTGCATGTCCCTGTCCCCTTTTGTCAAAATGTGCCCAAGAGAACTAAGTCCGCGGGAGTAAACACCCCCCCCCCGACATACAAGACAGTCCTGCCAACCGGGAAGGGGTCTCAGCAGAGCCCCGGTGGCCTCGGGTGGAGGCAACTCTCCTGCAAGGCTCTAGCTGGGTCCATTTCAGGACAGCCCCCCCCCCCGCCCCCGCTGCACCCCTCGGATCTAACCCTGGGGTTGGCAGGCCGGGTGGGGGGGGGGTGAAGGGAGAAGCGAGGGCGGGCGTAGGCCCTTGGGGCGCTACCGAGTAATGGGGGCAGGATTCGAAGAAGCGCTGGAGGCGCCCCACGTTTCCTCCAGCCCGATGATAACATCAGCGCCTGTCAGGTGGTTGGTGAGAGAGCGGGTGCGCGCGCGCGCGCGCGGGGGCGAGCGCGGGGAGCGCGCTGGCACAAACTTTGCGCCTGCGGGTGCGCCCGGGTCGCCTCGCCGGGGCTCCGAGAGTGGCCGGAGCCACCGGGGTGCGAAGGCCGGCGACGGCCGAGGGATGCGCCGCATCCCGCGGAGCCGGTCCCGCCGCTCCAGGTGAGACGGCTCCCGGAGCGCAGCGAGCCGCGGCCATGGGCACCCTGGGCAAGGCAAGAGAGGCTCCGCGGTGAGTAGCTGCGGCTCCTCCGGGCGGGGAGGGGGGCGGCGGGGAGGACGCACTTTCCTGGGGAGGATAGCTAGCCGAGCGGGGTCCCCCCGCTATCCTCTCCCAGAGGATAAGACGCGGGATCGGACGACCAGGACACCTCCCTCGGAGGAGAGTTCCTTTCAGGGGTGGGCCGTGACCGGGGACCCGGCAGCCGGGTCAAGACTGACGTCGGGGGAGAAAGGGCGTGAAGGAGACACCCTCCCCGGAATCCAGGACATCGGGCGAGAAGGGAGGACCGAGTCCTGGCTGCTGGGGTGGGGAGGTCACGGGTCGCCTGGCAAGATCTGGAGGAGCCTGAGCCCTAGCCTGTCTCCTGCCCAGAGTCCCACAGGAGTCGACCTCCCTGGATGCCCTTTGTCGGGGCACCCCCAGGAACTCCCACCCGAATACTTTCCGCGCCCCTGGCACCTGCTGCGGGCGCGGGTCTCGGGCAGCGCCACCTGGCGGTCTCTCCAGGCCTTTCAGAGCCATGGCTGCAAGCCGAGCTGGCAGTGTTTGGCTGCCTTTGAGGAGGAAGAAAGGAAAAGCTAAAAAAAAAAAAAAAAAAAAAAAAAAAAAAAAAAAAAAAAAAAAAAACAGAAAAAGTTTTCAAATCAGTGGTCTGTGAGCCTTCGCTCCTCTCCTCCCCCCATATTTTAGAGAGATGTTTGGGAGAATCTTGGATGGCCGAAGGTGAAGGAAGAGTTGCTATAAACACTCGGGCTCTTAGCAGCAGTAAGGGGCCTTAGTGGGTCAAGAAGTTTAGCGTTTGTGCTCAAAACACCAAAACCCGGCAACTGCCTGGACAGCGCTTCGCCTTGGTTAGGACGCAGCCGGTTGTACCGTTCACAACGCCGTTCACGTGGACTCAGATATGACCGATCCGAGTAACTATGCCCACTCTAATTCCCTGCAGTGCCATGCCATCCCCTGCGCGTCCTCCACGTTACTTTATGCCATACTGCTGTGCATCAGCCCACTGAATTAACTGTGTATTGTGGGCGGCGTGGGGCAGGACTGGGAGGTGCCTTTCCTTCTAAGCAAACTATGAGATGTCCTGTCTCTCCTTTCTTTCCTTCTTTGCCCTGGGAATACCTGGAGACTAAGTCCCTCGACCCCCCACCAAATCAGGTTACTCTTCTTTGAAACTTCCCTTCGCAGGCTCTTGGGGAGGGGGGAGAGGGAAGGCAGAAGCCGAGAAAACATCTTGAAGTTAATGCGTTTCCTTCGAGATTTTGTTGTTGTTTTGTTTTATTTAATTCACACTTTAAACTGGAAACGTGTGGCTACTGCCCTTTAAAATATGACTTTGTAGAATTGGTGGCTGTTTATTCTTTGGATGGTTAAGGCACTCTCCAAACTTCCTATAATAAAGCACTGTATAAATCTTTATCTGCAACCATCCCACCAGGAGGTGGGGGAGAGGGAGGAGGAGGGGACAGGGATCAGTGAAGGTACTTGCCTGGCATGTGCCAACCCTGGATTTGGTCCCCAGTATCATAAAAGACAAAATTAAGGTATTTCTTTTAGATGCATCCTGGTGAGGTGGTAGGCCTGTTCATTTTTTAGCCTGGTATGATGAGGCATGCTTGCAACCCCAGCACCCAGAAGGCTGATGGAGAGTTTTGGGCCACTCTGGGCTACATAGTCAGACCCTGTGGCCAGACCTACCTCTGCTGCATATCTGTAGATATTTGGGAAGAGACTGCCGAGAGACTAGCCATCTCTTGGGTCCCAAGGACCATTCCAGGGATCTTCTGAACAAGTAAGAGCTGAGATGTTGTCTCTACACTACCCACCATCTTTCTAAAGTGCCTGCACCTGATTTTTGTTGTACATTGAATAAACCCTTTCAGTCTCTTAACAATCTGCTCACCACTTCTGGTGTGGTGATAAATACACAGTCTCACGGTTTAAAATTAAAAAAAAAAAAAAAAAAGCCTGTTAGATGCTTAGAGCCAGAAGGGCTGAACAGCCTCTCAGCATGTTTAGGATTCAGTTTCTGTATCACACGGTAGCCTCTTTCTGGACTGAAGCCTGACACGATGCAAATCCCAGCACAGTGTCTTTGGAGCATGGAATGTCACTTAGCGAGGGCTGTTGCTGTTTTCAAGTTGTTGTTTTGTTCTCAGACACTGCTCTGACTCTCTTGGGGCCTGGATAAAAAATGATGGCCGAGAGTTTGATGGAGTTCTGCAGCACCAACCTGATCCCTTGGGAGTTACTGGCTTGGGTTAGCACGTTCGCAGTCAGCAGGATGACGGGGCTCCATTGGTCCCACCTCAGTTTGGGACAGAGCCCCATAGGCTGATGCTTTGAGGTGGTAACAGAGCAGGAAGGGGCCAGGGTGTCCGCCCTGGAGTCTGGCTGTGCGGTGTGGCCCATGTTCAGAGTAGAGTTTTGCGAGGGCTGATTTCTCCACACCTAGGTGGGCCAGGGTGGTTGTTTTGTTTGTTTTTGGTTTTGTTTTGTTTTGTTTGTTTTAACTAAGGATACGGTTGGCCCCTTCTGAGTGAGATTTTCACCTTGTCGAGAAAGCTCGTCCACCCAGTTTCCTTCCGCTAAGAACATCATGCCTCTCGCCCTTGACTCTTGCGACACTCAACCTAGAAGCTATGTGGTTATTACACTCATTGTCTTGGTCAGACTCTCCTGCTAGAGCTTTTTGTTTTAAGGAGCTCCCAGGTGCTTTTATACAAGAAGAACTAACATGCAACGCTCATATTGTATCGTTTACAGAGTATGTTTCAAGGCTATCTCACATGGTCTCCCCGGCCTACTGCAATGTCTTTCTCATGGAATAAGTACGTGATTAATTGATGCTGGTTTATGCTTAATGTGTTATCATTCTAGGGTGTTTTAAACGTTTCTTCTTTGACCGTGAGCTAGAAATGAGTAAAAGGTTCAACAGGAAGTTGAACTAAGTAAATGCCAAAAAAAAAAAAAAAAAAAAAAAGGTTATCGGCAAAAGCGCCTATCATGCCTATCATTATTGAACCTTCGAAGAGTACAGATGTGGGTCACTGTTTTTCAGTAAATAGAAAAATAAAACATAGCATATACAACACTTTGCAGAGTGACTTGTGTCAACTAGTCTATGCCCAATAAAGCTAAAGATGAGTAGCTGAAGATCTACCAGATTCCGAAGCCAATTTTTACATCCAACCAGTTATTTTATGCTCAGCTGTAGAACAGGCAGCTCAGCACAAATTCAATCCCTCCCCCCAGTTTCTCTTCATTAAGGATCCCTGTAAAGACCTGATGGAATAATGTTTACTGCTCTAAGTGGTGCATAGTGGTTACTTGCGTTATCAAAAATGAAACTGTTTATTAAAACCAACCAAGATTTGTAAGAAAGGAAGAGATGGCTGAAAAGTCTAAATGCCACCCCCACTCTCTCCCCAGCCTCAAGGTTTTGAGTTCCTCAAGGTTCTTAAAACTGTTTCAGAGGGCCCCTGCCCTTTGGTACCTTAGGCATTGCTTAAATGAATGAAACTAGCCAAAAATGAGACCAACTGAAACCAGTCCTTCAGACCCCAAGTCAGCTAGAAGCTAAGGGCCACCAAGATACAGACTTCCCTCTGCCTCTCCCCTTCTGGAAGAGAGCAGGCAGCATAGAGCAGTTCTGACACCAGTGGGGAGAAGGCGATTGCTGCCCTGGAATCTCACCTTGCCATTTGCTGAGGAGATGTCTCTTTAACAGCCAACCAGTCCGTTCAGTGCTTTTGCCAAGTGGGAGGGGTATGCCTTCTACCAGCCCAGCTTCAGGGACTCACTGTCCTATCTCCTCTTCCCTCTGTCTTCAGAGCCTGGAGCTGCCAGCGAGACCCCCAGCTTCTCTGCCTATCCTTACTTGAGTCTCTCTCTCTCCCTCAGGAAACCTTGCCATGGCTCCAGAGCTGGCCCCAAAGCAAGACTAGAGGCCAAATCAACCAACAACCCTCTCCCCACCCAGCCCAGCTTGGCCCAGATTACCCAGTTCCGAATGATGGTGTCCCTGGGACATTTGGCCAAAGGAGCCAGCCTGGACGATCTTATTGACAGCTGCATTCAATCTTTTGGTGAGTCGGGTAACAGCCCACATACATAGAGATTACTTCGTTATTGTTTTGTTCTTTGCCTTAAAAAGTGTCTTATACAAGAGCAACCTAGATTGTGTTTTGGCTTTAAAAATAGCTTTTAAGCCTTTGAAATGTTGAAGACAGTCTGCAGCGCTTATGGCACATGACTATGTGGGTGGAATAGGTCGTGATGAGAGGTGCAATTTGAAGTGAGAGAAGTTACTGAGCGGAGTTGGCATTTTTCTTTGGCATGGAGGTTTTTCTCATGGTGGGAGATACCAAAAAAAATGCTATTGGACTGGTAATAAATTTTCTGTTCTTTAGTTCTTGGGGTAGAAAAAAAATAAGTCTGTCTCACACTGTCAAGAAGAGTTTGAAAACATTTAGGTCATTTGAACAAATAAGGTCTCGGTAATTCCCCCTTACAATCTGGAGCTTTGCTTTGTGTTTGTGACTAGGAGGTCATGTGCTGCAGGTCGGTGGGGGAGGGGAACTGTCAAGGGGCTAGGAACTGAGCGTGTGGGCACCTGGTGCATGGCCCAGGTGCTGCCCTCTCTCAGAGCACGTAGAGCTGCGCTGTCAAAACATGCAATGCCCTGAAAAGATTTCTTTTCAATTAAGCATTTTCCTTTGATGACCGCTTGTGAAATGGTGATCGGAAAGTAATAAATATTGGGTTGGCTTCAAAAAGGGCAGAATTAAAACTGATGGATCTCAGTGCAAACTATTAAACTCGGAGATTTTCAGCACTCCTTTCTCTCTGTCCCTCTTTCTGTGTTCTTGCATCTCCCACTGGGAAGGAGATGAGCTCTGAAGCAGCAGCCCACCCCAGCCTGGGCCTCCTGGAGAGCAGAGGAGAGGTGTGCTCTGCTCTCAGAGGTGGGGATGGTTAGTTAGTGTTTAGGGCTTTTTCATCTGGACCTTCTTTAGAGTCTTGGGGAAGACTCTGCACTTTGGGGAGATTCATTTCATTTCATGCAACTGTCTCAATTTTGGTTTAAAGCAGTGTTCCTGAAACATTCTTGCACAAACACTCATGTGTAGATTTTTTTTTCCAGTAATGCAGATGGCTGGGTCCCACCCCCAGAGTTTCTGCTTGAGTAGGTCTGGCCAGGGTGGGGTCCAGTAATTTGCATTTCTAACAAGGTTGCAGGTGAGGCCAAGGCAGCTGCTCCCAGAACCCCCTCGCTTTGAGAATCGCTACTTTAAAGTACTCGAGACTTGAAAGTTCTAAAGCAACACAGACTTGAAAGTACTGTAGTCTTACATTTGAAACGAAGAGAGCGGGGTGTGGAAGTCAAGACAAGGCCTTGAGGGCAATCTCCCCCCCACCCCAGACAAAGAAAAGGCCATTCATCCTGTTCCCCAATTTATCCTCACCTGAAAGATGGATTCCATACACATATTCTCCAGCTAAGCTACATCTTCAGCCCCAGACTGAATAACTTTGTGATTCAAAATCATCTTAATACACTCAGGGAGGCAGCTCAAAGCTGGTGGGCATCAGTGGCAACAGGGTGGCGATTAGTTCTGTTGGATAAGCTACAAATGTCCCTCTCCTTGGCTGCTAGTTGTGTTTACTAGACCTTCAGGGAGCACAATATAACTATTGCATGAACAAGGACCTTCATTCTCTGCTTCACCATGAAGAACACTGGGACCGTAAATGTATCGATCATGTCATCTTTCTTCTTTTTTTTTTACCACTCAACGACCTGATGAGTTCAAGACTGTTTTCTTAGCCTTTGAATAGTTGAGGCTTCAACCTCAAAAATTCACAGCCGATTCTGTTATCCTTTCCAAAAACATCCACTCCATACCCCACTCCCCTAACCCATCCCACAAAGGCAATGGTACATTGTTTTCTGAAATATGTTAAGGCGAAAAGTAGTACTTTGAAATGCAATTGATGAGTAAGTCCCACTGAGGCTAAAATCCCTTGGGCCATTACCAAGAAGGATTTATTAAGTCCCTAATTATACCCGACCCCACAGTAGATGTCACCTAAGAAAAATGACAGTGACCAAGTACCTGTTTCATTAGCACTATAGCACCTGTGAAATACCCTGTTAAGGAACACACACACACATACAGGCACACACACACAAATGAAGGTGTTCAAGAACAATGTCCTGGGTAGAGTTTGAACAAGCTCTTACTGATAAGGACCAGACACCACCTCACAGCCCCTGGGCCCTGGGCATCCTGTGGACAAAACCCCAGGCTTTCAGTATTATATATTACAGAATTTCCTATCTCAGAGTTTACTCAAAAGACACAAGACAGCAAAAGCCCATGTCCGCAGGAGAGAATTAGAGGGCGTGCCTTTGTGAGTCTTCCTTCTCTTGGCTACCTGCTGTGGGAGGAGCTTCCCACTGAACTGTGAGAAGCTGCTTTGGAGATAAGGACAACTACTCATTCCTTTCTTTACTTTCTCCTTCCTCCTCACCTCACCTTTGTGCTGAGGCCCTGTGTTTCTTCACCCAGGCTGTATATGGCTGTCCAGGGCAGCAGCCCCTAAACAATGGGGCTATTGTCATATACATTTTAATTAGTTAAAATGAAATCAAGTACGAAGTTTACTTCTGATACCTCACTAGCCAGCCTTCAAGGGCCCAGTGGCCTCAGGTGGTGACTGCTACTGGACAGAGTAAACAGACAATGTCCACAGTCACAGAAAGTCTGACTAACGGTGCGGCAGAGGGAAGATGGCTGACCTGCTGGATTTTTCTGGAAACTGGGGTTGCGTTCATGTCTCGCGTATACCCAAAGGATAATCTAAATACTGTTTAAAAGCTCCTGGGCATTGCATACTGAGAGCTGTCTCCTGAGCATTATTAAGTAACAGTTGTCTATCCCTTCCTGCAACTGTTCTTGGAGGAAGGCTGGATTACAGTGCTTTTAAGGATGCACAGGCAAATGATGGTACTTGGAAGGCTGGCAGCACCCTTCCCGGTGTCAGAAGGTTACAGATACGTGATTAGAAACACCAACTGTCCAGTAAGTTCCTTTGCTTTAACCCTGCATCAGCCCACACCAGAGGGCACGCTGCGGATCCCGTGCACGGCTGCGAGTCAATCCCTTCCCACATTGAGCATAATGCGGTCATCATCACAGCCAGGTACCTTTATGTCAGATGGATGTGAACCACACCATCTGATACAGAGGTTAAGGGCCCATGAGATCACCTAAGCTTTTCATTTCTTTTTCACTTTGCAAGAGGGCTGCCAGCGTTGGGGCCAAGTGGAAAAATCAAATACCGCAGTTCACAAAGTTCTTTCCTGTCTCCTTTCTATGCGGGACATCTTCTGATAGCATCAGGAAACAGCTGCACACGTACCCCAGAAAGAACCCTAGCAAGCATCTCCCCACCATGTCCAGATCAGGCTGTCAGGGCCGAGGACAGTGCATCAGAGGGGCCTATGTTTTATAGGGTGTTATCGGGTTTTTGGTTTTTGTTTTTTGTTTTTTTACTGTTCCATATGTTTTGATTTTCCTTTTCTATTCAAAACAACCCCAAAATAGGTCAGGTATTATTATCTCCATTGGATGAACAGGAAAAAAAGTGGGGCATGTGAGATCTGAAACAACACACCTTGTACCCACAATCTAAATAGAAAACATGATGTCTTTTCCTTCTGCATCTGCACCCAGTAGCCATTTGTACCCTGAGCTGGGACAGGGCCGGGTCTCTTTCCAAGACAGGCCTCATATTCTCAGGAGAGACTTGGCCATGCCCAGGGTAGGCCTGCCTCCTGTTCTTGCCAGCCTGCAGGCCTGGCCTCCCCCATTGAGAGACCACATTCCACTCAGGGCAAGAAATAGTCACAGACGCCATCTATATGTCATCAGATGTCCAACCGAAATTAATTCCTGAGTCAAACTTATATTCGTAAATGACCACGTGTGTGCACTGTACTAATGTTCCCCAATCTGGGAAGACCCTGGGACTACTAAGTACATTTCCTGTCCTGTGGGCTGGTTGAGTATTTAGTACTTGTCACAGCTAAAACACTATGCCTGCCTTTAGAACCGGAGCCGAGTGAAGGCAAGCACACACATTTTAGAACCGCAGTCCCCTCCACAGCAAAGGCAAAGCTAGGTGCTCCTCGCCACTCCCCAGTGTTAACTCTGAGCACCAAAGTCAAAGTGTATAGGAGACAGGTGCACACCACTCCATGACACAGACAGGTACTTGGAACTATCAAAGGCAAGCACCAAACCACGTATATAAAGTCATATATATATACATATACCTAGTGCTGATAACAGGGCCCGTGTGAAGGCCACAGATGTCCCTGAAGCCTCCTGAGTAGAATTCCTCAGATATACAAGGTTTCTCATGGGGGGAAAAAAAAAAGACAATCCCTAGGGCGCCCTGACCTACCTAAACACCAGGGGGTGACAGGAGTGCCTGACAAGGATGTTTCTAGCTCTCTGGAGAGAACTGGCATCCTTTGGCCAGTGTGTCACTTATGCTAAAGAGCCCTTCACTGTGTCCCTTCTGAACTGCAGGCAGCCGGGGTTCCTGGGACATCAGCCCTCTCATGAGTGTGAGTTATGATGACTCTAGGGCTGGGGAAGGAGATGGCTAAACCCTCTTCACTCCGCACTTTGCAGTGTGACATTATGTGTGGGGGGGGGAGGGAATCAGTCTTTAAAACAATGATAGATAAGAGCCACAGATTCTCAGGAATCCTGGGTACTTTTCTTCAGTAGATGGACCCTGAGAAATGAATCTTACTGCTGACTGAAAGGTGGAGGGATACAGAGTACCTGAGAACTTGTGGATCATGGGCTCAGTGGGGAGCAAGCCTTTACCTGAACTGACCCTGATGGGCTTCCTTTCCCCACAGCACTGTGGGTTATTAATTTGCTCTCTTAGCTGATGGGAAACTGGAATTCAAAAGAGGGAAAGGACACGTGGAATGTGGTCGGGCTCATTGCTGGGCCAGCTGCTGAGACCAAAGCTCAGATCTGCCCTCTGTGTTCTCTCTGCT